GTGATCTGGCTGGGGCACTGAGCCAAGATCCAGGGCAAGGGAACACCTGGTTCCAGGATGAGGGCTGGACCCTCCCCCCCCCTCAGGACGGCACTCCTGGCTGTGCTGGGTGAAGTAGACCCAGCCAGCGGGAGCCTCGGGGATGGGAACTCAGCAGCCCAGGGCACCCCGAGACCAGGACATGTGGCTTTTGTGGCTCTTTCCTCTCTGGTTTCTAACATGCTGAATGGAAAGAGCCCTGTACAGGGACTCAGAAAGGTGGTTTCTGTTGCCAGCTCTGCTTGAAGGCAGTTTCCTTCCCAACTCTGGGACCCAGACCATGCTAAAAGTGACAGTTGGGGGTGCCTGGGTGGCTCAGATGGTTAAGCCTTCCTTTGGCTCAGGTCATGATCCCAGGGTCCTGGGATCAAGTCCCGCATCAGGCTCCCTGCTCCTCGGGAGCCTGCTTCTCTCTCTGCCTCTCTCTCTCTCTCTGTGTGTCTCTCATGAATAAATAAATAAAAAGTTTAAAAAATAAAAAAGTGACAGTCGGCTCAAGATGACCTGAGGCCATAGCTCCAGGTCCAGTTCCGATTCTGACTTTAGAAGATGGGTGGTTAATGGGGTGAAGAGAATTTGACAGGGAGCTTTGCCACCTGGGAGGGAGAAAGGGCTCCCCAGAGAACCCGGCCCCTTGCCCTGGCCATGGATTTCAGTAAGACTAAGGAGCTCTGTGGTGGGGGTGAGCTCACTGCATCTGCGCCCTGGTTGAAGGGAGAGGACATGGCCTGGACTGATCACCTCCTCTTTTGCCCGGCCCTGTCGTGGGTACTGGTAAGGGTGGTACTGTCACAGCCGAACGTGTATTTATTGACTTCTTGCTGTGGGCCGGGCACTGGAATAAGTACTTCTGTGTTACGTCATTCACTCTCCCCATGTGAGAGTTAGTGTCTCTTATTCCCCTGTCTTACCTGAGGGATCTCTTATTATTGCCCTTTTGCAGATGAGAAAACTAAGGCTGAGTTTAGGCAACTTGCCTAAGGGCCACATAGCAAAAGGGGAACTTTTAGCCTGGCCTGGTAGATACGCGGAGAGGAAGAAAGGCAGCCTCCCAGGTTGGGGGACAGGGTAGCACATAGGCCGTGACCTTGGAACCGCCCAGCAATAGCCTTGCCTGGGGAGGTGATGATGATTTTATTATTCTTCACAAATAACACTGAGGGCTTATTATGTGTCAGGCACTGTGCCAAGTGCTCTACAGGATCCCCTCTCTTAGTCCTTACTAGAACCTACAAGGTAAGTATTATCCCCATTTTAGAGATGAAAGGACAGAGGCTTAGCAAGGTTAAACAACTTGCCGAGGGGCTGTCTTGACTCCAGAGCAGGCCTTTGTCATGTTTCCCTCTCTGCCACACTGCTTCTGATGTCCACCCTGGACAGGGGGACCCGGGGGGCTCAGGCTTCCTTCTGTAATGCAGGTGAGTCACAGATGAGCATGGCTAGCCCCGTGACATTCTGGGACCCTATGGGTCTGATTGCACAGAGAGTAATGGAGCTTTGGAGAAAGGGATTGGGGCTCTCCAGCTAAGGGGATCATCCAGACAGAGCCCCTTTTGGGCTCCCGCCATCTTGGGCAGACCCTAGGGACTTCTGTCCTTTGTCCTCTCACAGTCCCCTGCACCGCTGGGCTCCACAGAGCTGGTTGACGGTGGTGCTCACAGCAGGGCTTTGTGTCTGTTATCTGTGCCCCTCCTCTGCAGCTCTGTCCCAGATGGGCTACAACCTGAGCCCCCAGTTCACCCAGCTCCTGGTCTCCCGCTATTGCCCGCGCTCCGCCAACCCCGCCATGCAGCTAGACCGCTTCATCCAGGTGTGCACCCAGCTACAGGTGCTGACCGAGGCCTTCCGGGAGAAGGACACAGCCGTGCAGGGCAACATTCGACTCAGCTTCGAGGACTTCGTCACCATGACGGCTTCTCGCATGCTCTGAGCCAGTCCCTCTGGAGAACGGAGTGTACCAGGGACCTTTCCTGGCTCCTGAGAGTGGGAGAGGCCTGTGGGCCTCTCCTTTTCTCCTGCCCCTCCTAGAAAAAGATTCTCCCTTGCCTGATGCAGCGCTGTTTCCGAAGAGGGCTGGGAGTCTCCCCGTCACCAAATCATGGGGACCTGGGCTGAGGCCACACAGGTGGTGGCCTGACCTAAGAGAGGCCTGGAAGTTGAATGTCCTTGGAGCCCTGAGCATTTGACTGGCCCAGCCTTGCGCCAGGAGCAGGAGATGTCAGTCACTGCCGTGGAGTGAGTAGCGTCAGTCAGCTGGGCTCCAGCCTCTGGCTCTCCCTTCTGCGCCCTGACACCAGTGGTGAGTGTTCATCAGCCTCTTGCTGTTAGCACCTGAGCCCCCTCACCCATACCGTCTTGTCCGATGAACCCAGTTTCTCCAAAGTGGAAGCTAACCAAGCATGAGAGAGGTTTGTCCGCGGGACCAAGTGGCTTGGGTTCCACCAGCCCCATGCCCCAAATCTGCGTGCGTTGACTTCTTGCTGCCTGGGTGCCGTCCCTGCTCAGGGAGCTCGGACAGGCTGCTCTCTGGGCATCCTTGGCTAGGCTCCCCCTCTGCAGCTTGGACCCCTCCCTTGCCTGCCATTCTCTGCTTGGCTTTAATCCCCAGGGGACAGTTGCCACCTCCCACTGCCAATGTTCTTTTTTTATTTGTGTGTTTGTTTGTTTTTTTCTTTCGCGGCCAAAAGTTCAGTGAAACTGTAAGCTTCAATAAAAGGACAAAACTCTTGAGTCTCCTGTGTCCCATCCCACCTTCCTAGCTGCTGGTTCATCTGCGCTATTCACGTGTGTGCATCCCTTCAGCCACTCATTTCTTCTTCGTTCAGCAAATAGTTAAGTGCATACTGTACACCACACTGTGCAGGAAGAAGCGTGTTAGGGGGACATGGCCCGCATGGGGCTGGTCCCATTTATCAGGGTGGAGCTGAAGTGTAGGGGCTGGCCAGGTTCTTGTGTTTTATCACTGTTTTAGGACTGGCGCTCTGGGCTACAGGCACCACCCCAGACTTCATAGCATGGCCTTTTTATTATCTCAAGCCCTCGTTTTATCTTCCAAACTGCATTTATTAAGTCATAACTTTCCTCCCATTTTTATTAAGCACAGACATCTGTCCTTGCTAGCTGGATCTTGAGATCAGCGTGATAACCAGTCTACATCAAATGTCTATGGTGATCTGACAGAATTTCAATCAAAAGCCAAGACACCAGACATTCTGGTTTGGGGGGGAGGCGCTTATCATGGGCATTGGTGTGATAATCCTTTTGCTCTTGGGGATGAAGATAAGAAAGCTCTGGTCCCTGCATGGGGTGGTTGGAAGCAGCTCAGTGAGGCCTTGCAGGTATGTCGGGCTCAGCCTGTTCAGCCCTTTGTCCTCTGGGCTGCTGTCATGCTAGAATGCTAGCACCAGTCCCGAGGCCAACCTCCACCCAGGTCTAGAATCCTCTCTCTTGTTGAGTCCTGCCGCTGCCCGCCAGCCTCCAGTGACAGCTCAGTGCCCTTCCAGGAAGCAGGCTTCCTCTGACTAGCAGCAGACACTTCTTCCTGCTGAGATTCCAAATCCTGCCACCTTGAAAACCATCCATGGACTATGGTTTTCTCTGTTGGGCCACCCAGAAGCTCCCATCTATCACCCCTTTCTGCATGCCACACCTCTAGGTACCTGGAACCTGCCACCACATTTCCCTGAGGCCTCCCTTCCCTGGGCTGGGTAGTCCTGGGTTCTTCCGCAGCTCTTTCCTAAGCATCACTCACCTCGGCATCCAGGTCCTCTGAATTTTCTCCAGTTCATCTGAACCTCCCAGGGTGGAGGCCTCGGGCCCACTGTTGGACTGGATTCAGCCAGCAGAGTAGAGTAGAATGGAGGCCATTGGGGAAGCTTCTGTTGTTTGCTCCTACTCAGCCAAGTGTCTACTGAAACCTGTCTCTAGAATGGTACCAATCACAGTTTCAGCCTTCTGCTCAGCCAGGGCTCCTTAGCCCCGGACCTGGGTTGGTCCTTGTGGATATGGTTGGTTCCGAGCTTGGGAGCCAGCCCTCACAACATCATTCTGCACACTTGCACCTCCCAGCCTGGCTACATGAAACTTCGCAAACAGCTTTGGATCGCAAGGCCAGCGGGAGTGAGGAAGGAGCAGGGCAGCCCATCCCACCTGGCAGCAACCGCACATCTGTGGAAATGGCCACAAGCGCTGGGTTGGTGAGTCATCCAGAGAGTGGATGACATACTTAGGCCATATCTTCCACCTGCTCTGGGAAAAGTGTGATGCCTAAGAGGAGGTGTGCTTAAGCATTCCTGGGCTGGGCCCCTGGCAGGACCCTGGTTTTGTCCTGTTTTTTGATGGGGGAGGTCAGAGGGAGCTCGGAGCTCCATTAATCAAGTTGAGCAGAGCTGGTGGTGTACACGGCCGAGATGGCCCCTGCCAGATGTCTCCCGCCCCTCAGCGGAGCTGTACTTGAGACTACACTCCACTTCCTGCTCTGGCAACGAGGAGCAGGGGCTCTGGCAGCCCTCTAATCATCTTGGTGGCAGACGGAGCACGTCTGTGGCTTTCTCTTTATCCTGTGAGTTCATAGAAAATAAATGCAAGCCTGATTTCCAAGAAGGTGACGATAACAGTAAATCAGTCTGTTAACCCCAGTGTCTGGCCCCACATCTCCCTTACCTCCCGTAGGCCACTGGGCCCATAAGCAGACAGATGTGTGAAGGATCCAGGTCCTGGGCATCAGAGGATTGGCACCGCCTGAGGAGGCAGCACCGCGGGTGCTCTGCATCCTGGCTCGGAGCCCATCTGGGATCCAGTGTGTTGGGGGTGGGGCGGGTGGGAGGTGGTCAGCAGCTAACAGCATTCCCGTGCTGCCTGGTCTTCTCCCCTCCCCCCAAGCTTCCCCACCTTCTCTCTCCTCACCTAAGCAGCACAGATTTTGTGCAATGACAAGGAAAAGGAACATTCAGTGCCAGGCTTTTAATTACAGTTGCTTCAGGCTGCTGGCCTCCATGCCAAATGGCCACATGGAGAGGATTCTATCACACCAGAAAGCCAACAGGGTCCAGTCTGTGGTGCACCCGGCACCTGGTGAGGCTGGGGCTGTGTTCTGACCAGGGAAAGGCTGAACCCAGATTAGTTCACGTGGGCCTCAGAGCAGCTGGGCTTTCGCTGGAGTCGCTGGGCCAGATGGAACTGCCCGCCGGGACCCTTACAGCAGATTCCAGGGAAGGCCTGTAATTGGGTGGGAGAGGGATCTTTGGGAGGAAGGCCAAGCTGCGGAAGTATGATGGGATGGGTGATACTGGGGGGCACAGCCGAGAGAGGAATGTGATAATCCCGTCCACAACACTTCACAATCTACAAAGAGCTTTCCGCTTTCTCCAGCGTGCTTAATCCTCCCATCAATCCTGCCTAGGAGATTGGGCGCAGAGAAGGGAAGTCACTTGCCCGGAGTTAAACAGGCAGGAAACCAGGTCTGGAGCCCTGGCCTCCCACTGCATCCAGCAGTCTCCATGAGGAGGTGAGGCCCTTGCTCAGGGCAGCACCGTGGTGACAGTGGTGAGCACCACGTGCTCAGGGACTTTGGAGACGGAGCACCGGCTGTGCAAGGACCAGGACTTGTGGCTGGCAGAGGAGCGGGGGCTGGGGGCTTTCGGAGAGCTGCAGGGACCCAGGCCAGGCAGGCAGCAGGAGAAGGCGGCCTTAAACTGCTCCCGGAATTTGCCTTGGTTGGAGACAGAAGACAAAGCCATAAGGAGATGGATGAAGCAGGAAGGGCCTTGGGCCCAGGGACACCCACGCAGCTCCAACCCAGCTGCCTGTGAGGGGGTGGGAGGGCAGAGTAGAGCTGGGAAGGAGAAAGCCCCAAGGCGGCCTTGGCATTGCCAGGGAGAGTGAGGACAGAGGCCCCGGAGCAGTTCCCAAGGAGAAATGCAATTTTCATCTGATTCCTTGACTGCTCTCTGGCTCTGAGCCCGGCTCGAAACGTGGTGTCTGGCTCAGGGGCCTGGGGCCACCTCTGCCCTCCTCGGTGGGTAGGTGGAGGGGCTCGGACTCACCAGCTATGGCTAGGCTTTCCCCACCTGTGCCCCACAGTGACGGGAAGGACAGCAGCAGCCTGTAGGAGGCACTGTGCTCGGCACCTCTGCCTGCCCTCCCCCCACCCCCCACCCCTCCCCTGCTGGTCCCAGCGCCCTGAGAGGCTGGCATCCTTTATCCTCACTGCGCAGGTGAGACGCACAGAGGTGCAGCGACTTGCCCAAAGTCACCCAGCTAGAAGTCAGGCCCGGTTCTCGTTCCGGAGCCCCTCTCTTGAAGGGGAGGGCAGAGTAGGGAAGAAGGGACTACCACAGCCAGCTCCATCGGCCAAAGGACACCAAGGAAACAGATTGTGTCTGGAGCAGAAAATGCCTTGACCGCGCTTCATTCGCCAGCAAGCCTCTCCGGGGCCCCAGCGGAGGGCCAGGCACACAGTAGGTGCTCAGTAGGTGGAGACGAGACAGGAATACCCGCCTCTGCTGCAGCCCTTAGCTCTTCTGTTCTCCCCCCTGAGCTGGAGACTGCCGGCTAGCCTTCGGAGAGTAATTCTTTAGTCTCAATGAGGGTTGTGATATGGACCCCCGGCCCCTCCTTCTTCAGCCTTTTCCCAAAGATTATCATTCCCAGGCTTGAACAGGCATCTGGACCAGTTCGTTAGGCCTAGTTCTGGAGCCAGAGGCCTAGTGAGCCATACTTCTGCTGAGCCCAGGTGGGTCCAAGGGTGGAGGTATTACCGCCGCGAGCCTGGGAGGTTGGGGGAGGAGGTGCAGACAGTGGGACAGCGGAGGGGAGAGGCCTGGGGTGGGCCGAGGGGACGGGGGATGCCTGGACTTCCAGAGAGGGGAGCAAGAAGGCTGGTATTGGAGGCAGGTGGATCCAGGGACAGCCCCCCACATTCTGGCTACTCTGCCAGTCCATGTCTAGCTGGGCATGGGGAAGCCCTTCCCCGGCCCTGGGCTGCCTCCGCTGGTGACCCTCCCTTATCTGGATGACTTGGCTACGCAATCATCCTCTCAGCCCTGGGCCCTCTTCCCATAGGCCAGGCTTCCCTGGAGCCCGTGGTGGTCAGCCAGGGCCAACTGGAGGTCCCGCTGGGCAGGCACAGGGGGGAGGGGGAGGGGAGATGGCCTAGCCCCTTCCTTTCCCACCCACTCACTGGTCTGCGTGATCTGTACAACTGGATCCTGGGTGCTGGTCAGCTGGTTTTGGCGACTCTGGGGAGTGTGTGGCCTGTCTCCCACTCAGACCAGGGCTCCTGGGCAGGGCCGAGTCTTCCCCGAATGGGAGTTTGCAGAGCCAGCTCAAGATCCCCAGGTGGGAGCCGGGATGTCCTCTGGGGCCCTCCCTTTATTCAGCCTGGCTTGGGGGCGGGACTGCCGCCCCCTCAGTGGCCCTGCCTCCCAGCCCACTCACCACTGAGGAAGTTGTAGATGATGGGGTTGACAGCGCTGTTGGCATACACCAGCCAGTGGGAGAAGGTAAAGCAGGCATAGACGGCTTCTCGGTCGCTGGCTTGGCGGAACATCCCGAACACCCTAGGACCAGGGGGAGGACAGTCAGAAACAGGGTAGATGTGTGTGTGTGTGTGTGTGTGTTCCTGTTTGTGTTGGGCGGGAGTCACTATCCTTCTCTAAAAGACAGGAAAGCCAAGGCTCAGAAAGGGAAAGTGAGTTGACCAAGGTCACACAGCTCACGAGTGGTTATCAAGTGCAAGAGTTCCCACTGCCACTTCTGTCCCACCATGTGGGCCTTTAGGTCTGAGGTCTTGAGCACAGAAAGTCTGACCAGGGTGGGTGTCCGGACAGGGACCAGGGTTCATCCGCTCAGTCACCAGCTATGAGATCCTCTGGGAGCCCCCATCCACTTCCTCATCCATCCTCACAGCAACATGATGAGTCAAGCAAGACATCATCCATTGTTCAGTTAGGGAGGGGCAGAGAAGTGACGTGACATGCCCGAGATCACAGGAAATGATCCAGGAAGTGGCCAAGCACAAACTCACCCCTAGATTGTCTCATGACAAACAGCCCGCTGCTCTGTCCCGGCGCCCTGTGGCCCCTCCACGCACTGAACCCCTTGTTCCCTCCGCTTCTGGTGCTATTCCTCCAGATACCTGCGGGCCTGCTCCCTGGGTCCCTCCCTTCTTTCAAGTCCCTGCCCAATGCCATTTCCTTGGATGAGCCTTTTTTTTTTTTTAACCCTTGTATCTAAAAAAAGATTAAAAAAAAAAAAACCCCACACAAAACACACAAAACCCACTAACTCCTGTCACCGTCACTCTCCGTGCTCTTTCCCTATTTTATGTGTCTCCATAGTGGTATCCCTGCCTGCCAGTACGGTGGAGACTTATTTCTCTGTCCCACTAGATGTAGCCTCCATGAAGGTGGAGACTTCGTCCTGTGAGCGTGGTCACTGTGCTCCCAGCCCTCACGAGCTGATGGTTGAGTGAACAGATGGAGAAATTGTCATAATAGCCCCGCAGGCTACAACTGGCATTCTTCACAGTTTACAGGCGAGAAACTGAAGCTGGGAGGCTCAGAGAAGAGAGGTGACCTGCCCCCAAGACCACACAGTGGGTGAGTCCTAGAGCCCGTCTTTCCCCAAAACAGAGAGAGGCTACCGCCTCTCCCCTCATGCTCTCACCTCTTGAGGACGTTTAGGACACTGATGGGCAGGTAGCAGAGGGCAAAGACCAGCAGCACCACCATCAGCATCTTGGCCGTCTTCCTCCGCGCGCGCATCTGCTTCACCTCAGCCAGGAAGGCCCGGGCCCGGGGCGGGGGCTCTGCGCTCAGGCCCGGCCCCTGGTCATCCGACTGGTCTGAGGGGCGCTTCCAGTTCCTCACCAGGGCCAACGTGGTGCCAGGGATCTGTCCGGCACACACAGAGAGGGCAGTGGTGGGTGGAGCTCCTCAGGAGGGCCATTCTCCTTTGCTGGGTCCTGCTCCGGGTGAACCCCGGGGCGCAGTGGAGGTGGGCCAAGGGAAGGAACCTAATATTCATGATGAAGACCGACACTCTGGAATGGAGGGTGAACAGTGTACTTTCATCTTCCACGAGCTCATTGTGAGCCCCCCGTGGCACGTCTTCAGGGAAGGTGTTACTGGCCCTTAGTTACAGATGAAGGAACCGAACCTCACAGAGACAGGAGACTCTTGAACATCCTCCCAAGCTACCCATCCATCCTCCTCAGGCCATCGCTTCCTATTGTGGGGGCAGGGGTGCAGGGTGAGCTGTGCCCCCCCCAGCCCCGGCCTGTGCCTGACACGGGGGAGGCCTGAGCAAGGAGCGAGCAGGTGAGCAGGTGAGCAGCATGGAATGGCCTGGGCCTCAGAGCACAGTCCCTGCCTAGGTCACTGCCCAGAAACCTAGGATGGTTCCAGGCTTCCGGAGAAGCCACAGATATCCTTGAAGCCTCTCACACCACTGGACACCTGAATCACCCCCCAAAAGAGGGGTATGGGGCTAGAGTTGAGGGAAATTAGGGTCTAGGGCCAGCTCAGCCACTCATGAGCCATGTGAGCTCGTTCAACTCACTTTCCTTCTCTGAGCCTTGGTCTTCTCGTCTATTAGAGGAGGATAGGGACTCTTGCCATCTTGACTGGGGGGCTGTCAGGGGCAGATGACAGGTGTTGGTGGACTGCAGGGTGGCCACGTTCTGGTCTGCATCCTCTCCTTGCCCAGGCACAGGACCCAGAACTTAGTGCCCCTAGTGCCCAGAACCTCTGAGCATTCCCCTCCCCCCCCCCATACCCACCCCCCGAACCTGATGTCAGTGGGTCTGTAACGGAGACGAGCGGGCAGCCCCGGAACCAGAAAGGCTCTGCCACTCATCGGCTGTGGCAAGTTGGCTGCCCTTCCTCAGCATTTGCAAAGGGGGTACTACTGCTTCTTCATTTAGTTGCGAGCAAAGTGCCGAATTTGGCAAAAACACAGAGGTGCTGTTATTGTGGTGCTGACCTGAGCACTAGAATGTCACAGCTCTTCCCCTGGCTGGCTGAGGGATTCGAGAGAAGTTGCTTTGCCTCTCTGGGTCTCCGTTTTCTCACACATTAAGTTGGGGATAATATATGATGGTCGGGAGGAGGCAAGGCTAGCTGGAAGTACATGGTACAATAAGTGGCAGCTACTGGTGTCGGAACGATGATTAGATTTTAGATACTGAAACCGATATTAGTTGCTATTCGGTTCCAGGGTAGGCACCAGGGCTTTGGCCTTGACCTCGACATGTCCCTGGGCCTTGCCTCTCTCTGGTGGCAGCCAGGATGGCAGGTTCTGTCTGTCTCCTTAGACCAGTACCCCTTTCCCCTCCCAGCCCAGACAGTGACACCAGAGTGGGCCTCACCTGGTGGCCCCAGAGCTTGCGGAAGATCTGGAAATAGGCCATGGCCATGAGGCCCAGTGGGGCCAGGTAGGTGACAATGAAGAAGCAACTGTGGTAGATCTTGGGATAGAGGTCATCTGTAGGGGTCAAGACATACAAGGGCCAGAGATTCTCCCCTTCTGGGAGCCTCCAGCCTGTTCTGCTTAGCAATGCCACCCTGCCCCCATCTAGAGCCATAGAGCCAAACAAGCAGCTGGGCCTCACACAGGCACCGTGGCAGAGAGAGCCTGGAGTTGCCCAGCCCGGAGGTGTCCATCCTGGAAGGAGCCCTAGCAGATGTCTAGACTGGAGGAGGTACCCACCCTGGAGGTATCCTTGCTAGATGCCTGTTCTGTGGCATCTGGCAAGGGGTTACCCACCCTGGGAGCACACCCCATAGAAGCCTGCTCCAAGAGTGTCCTTTTGGGAGATAGATGGCCACCCCGGGAGTGCCCACCCCAGAAGTGCACTGACAGGCGCCTGTGCTAGGGGTACGTGTCCCAGAGGTGCCCACCTCAGGGATGCCTGCTCCAGGCCCCCACCATTACCTGGCCAGTGTTCATCACAGACGGAGAAGAGCCGGGTGCGGTTAGCTAGCTCAGGCAGCACACTACTGCATTCCATGACGGCAGCCTGGGGCACCGTGACGGCCAGCGACACAGCCCAGATCCCCAGGACGGAGCCCCGGGCGCGCCGGGCAGTGCTCTTGAACAACAGTGGGCGGCAGATGGCATACCAACGGTCCAGGGCGATGAAGCTGAGAGTCAGCACTGCCACTGACACGGACACGGCCTGCCCCATGGGGACACAGCATCAGGCCTCTTGGGGCCCACCCCAGACATGGGGTGAGTGAAGGAGCTCAGAGTCCTGAAATGCCAGGCGGCCAGGTGTGGGGAAAATGCTGACCGCACCGCTTACGAGCTGTGTAGCTTTGGGCACACCACTCACCTTCTCTGAGCCTCATCTGCAGAATGGGAATATGTCCTCCACCTGGTGGGATTCTTGTGAGAATCAGTGAAATCACAGGTGGGAAATGTCCAGGTTGAAACCTGGTACATAGTGGGGGCTTCCCTACTATGAAGAATAACTTTCACTTATGGGACCCACTACGTGCCAGGCACTGTTCTCATTACCCTCACAACAACCCCATGGTGCATACTCTTACCCCACGTTACAGATGAGGACGCTGAGGCACAGAAGGGTTAAACAGTTTGCCTAAGATGCATTTCCTCCCCACCCTGTCTTTATTCCCAGCGTTCCCAGGGTTAATCTGTTGAGTGGAAAATCTTACAACAATGGAAATCCAAGAGGCATTTCTTTCTGCCCAGGGATGCCATCCCTTCCCTGGGCTGTGAGGAAAGAGCCTTCCGCAGGGAGGCAGACATGAGCCGAGGAACAGAGGTGGATGTGGATGCTGCCTTCGGGAGTGAACCCTGCCTTCTGGGGTCCAGGGAGAGGGACGAGGAATGCGGCTGAGGGGCCATTCTGGCCTCTGGCCGGCCCTCTTCCCACCCCCCCCAGCCCCATCTGGACATCCTGATCCCCACTGCTGGGGGAGGGCAGGCCCTGGCCAGGGTTGGTCTCCTCACACCTGCCCCCTTGGAACCAGGGAGCAGGCTCAGCATGCATTTGTGTCTGTCACCATGGGCTTGTGCTCTCTCCTCTGCAGTGCGCCCAGGTGCCTGGAGGTGACTGTCCGTGTGTCCAAGGGCTCTGTGCGCATGGGTCTGCGGGTGTGACCACGAGGGGATCTCTGTATGAGTGTGTGGGGCCGGGTCTGTGTCCTCAAGTGTCAGGCCCCGCGGCCTGGCCTTGCTAACAGTAGAGGATGACACGGCAGAGGAACTGAGCCACCGCGTCCTGTCTGAAAGGTAAGTCTGAGGGTCACTGAGGTCTGTGCAAGGCCATGGTTTTTTGTCCTTGGGGTGACAGAGGGGTGATGGACGGCGCCTGGGTGGAGCTCACCTGTAGATAGGGGATGACCTTGCAGAGGGCATGACCAAAGAGCCAGGACTCGGTGATGTCCACCAGCAGGCTGGCTGGAAGGCAGATGGTTGTCACCAGCACGTCAGCCAGGGACAGGTTGACGATGAAGTAGTTGGTGACCGTCCTCATGTGGTGGTTCCTCCACACGGCCAGGCAGACTGCAGAGCAGTGGGGGAGGTGGGAAGAGGAGGAGGAGGTGAAGCCAGGGACAGAGCCATGCCCGTCCCCACAAGTGAGTCTCTTCCCCCATGGCCCCCATCCCCCACGGCCCCCATCCCCCACACTCCCCAGCCAAAGGGTGGTAGGGGAGGGGGAGAAAGAGAAGCCAGGCCCAGGACACCTTCCAGTCCCCAGGGCAAGTCCGCAGCACCACAGGGATCTAAACACCTACCCAGCGTGTTGCCCACCAGGGCCACAAGGAACACAGCCACATAGGCAGCGATGAGGACCCACTCATACTGCTTCGGGTACAGATAATCGCGCCACAGATAGCTCAGGAACTCGTCTTCATAGTCGGGAGGCACCTGTGACGGTGACAGTTCTCCGCCACCAGTGGGGGTCCCAGTCTGGGCACCTGGGTTGGCTGAGGGCTCCATGAGCTCAGGAGCTGCTGATGCCGAGGGGCATCCTGGGCCTGGTGTGGGGAGGGGAGCCCAGGCCAGGCCTCAGCCCACTTCCTTGCACGCAGGTCTCTGGGACCCCAAACCTCCTGAAGGAAGGAGGGGAGGAAGGAAGACAGAACATTAGGAGTGTGTCAGGCAATTTGCACATAAGCTCCCTCAATTCTCAGAGTGCTGTGGGTTACAGTGAGCCTGAAGTCGATGGAGAAAGACAGATGCGGCTTGCATCTCAATTCCATGCAAGTTGCTCTTGGATACCTTACATCTCCCCTTTCAGCCTCGGTTTCCCCATCTCTCCAAAGGAGTAATAACTGTACCTACCTCACAGGGCCGCGGTGAGGCATAATGAGCTCTAATGTGAGCCAAGTGCTTTACCCAGGCCCTGGCAAGGGGACCCGGCTTCAGGGCCGACTCCGGTTACCATTAGAGAACCCTGTTTTGCAGAAGCTCAGAGAGGTTGAGCCCCTTGCTTAAGGTCACAATGTTACTATGCCAGGTCTGTCTGAATCCCCGAAACACCATAGATTTGCGAGGGGAAGCCATCCCGATTGCAAATGTTCTCTCCTGAGTCAGTTCACAGACCTGAATTTTTGGTTGAGAAAACGGTCAAGGGAGGCGTTAGAGACCCAGGCCCCGCCCGCCAGACCTGGACCCTCCCGGGTAGGACACACAGTGGAGGCAGGGGTGCAGGAAGGAACTGACGACCTCCCTGCAAGAGAGGAGAGCCCCAGGCCCAGCAGCCAGGCCCCTCAGACCCCCCGGATCGCCCCCACTTGAATCCCCGCAGCCGCGATGCGCCCCGACGGCCGCCAGGGGTCGCTGGGCCGGCGCGCAGGCCTCTTTCTCCATTCATAAATTGGGCCTCGCTCCCCGCCCCTCCTCGCTCGCTCAGACCCCTCCTTCCCGCGGCTGGGCACAGACGACCCCGGACGTGTGTAGGACGGTTGCCGGTCCCTGGAGACCACTGGGGGAGAGCGAGGGGGCTCCTTCATACCTCCTCCAAGTGCCGACGGACCCAATCCCTCAGCGGGACCTTCCTGCACCTCGGGGGCTGTAGGGGGCTGCGGGGAAAAGGTGGAGGAACGAGGGCGCTAGGGGTTCTGCAGAAGCCTGCCGGGAGGAGGGCAGAGCCTCCTGGGGACCCTGCCTTCCAGCACCCAGGTTATGCCCCGAGACCCTTGGTTCCCGCCGAGGGTCCTTTGGAACCTCCACCCCGGGCCTGGGGGGGTGGGTCCCCCAAGCCCCGCACCTGTTGGCTCCGGGATCCCGGCGTCCTCGGCTGCTGGTCCCCGGACCTTGCACCGGGGACTCCGCCTCCCTGCCCCGAAGGCCGGACTCCAGGGGCCCGGGCCGGGGGAGGGGTCCGGGGCAGCCCCCTCCCAAGGCTGCGCTGCCTGGGCTCGCTCGGCTGGGCGCGAGCAGCGGCTCCAATGCGGGCTGTGGCTGGGCGCGGGCTCCGCCGGGCTGCGCGCCGCGGGGAGGGGTGGGGGCCGAGCGGGAGGTGCCGGCGGGGAGGGGAGCCCCCAGCCGGTCTCCGCTTCGTGTCGCCCAGCCCCAGACCGGGAGGGCGGGGGAGACGCTCATCCCTCCTCTCCTGTCACTTCATGCTTCCATCCCACCTCCATTCATGCGTCCATCCGTTCATTCATACGTTCGCGTTCACCCGGCGTTTACGCGTCGGGTCGCTCGGCGTTCAGAGCGCACCTACTGTGTGCTGGCGGGCCCTGGGCAGCTCCGGAGGGCCACAGCGCGGAGGGGGATCCCAGCTCCACCTCTCCTCGCGGCCTCACCTAGCTGACGAGGATGATGGCACAGGTGGGTCCAGGGGTGAGAGCGGGTGCCTGCACCGCCTCGGGCCAGGCCCCTGCTGCTGCTGGTGCATCTGGCTCCCAGTGAGGCCAGAGGCCCGGCTCGCCCATCTCCCAGCCCCCTCCCCACCGTTCTCTCTGCCCTTAGTCCTTTTCCTTCATACCTGCTTTCCCCCTCCCAAGATGGATGGTAAGTGGGGGCAGGAAGAGGGGAACCTGAGGGGCAAATTCAACAAACATTCACTAAGCTGTGTGCCAGGCAATGAGATAGAATAATAGGGCTGCCTTTTGTATAGCACCCCCCCCCCCCCCCCCCCCCCCCCCCGCCGCCAGCGTGATCGCAATCTTTCCGCCAGTCCAGGGAGGTGGTTGCTATTGCCCCTATTTTCCAGATGAGGACACGGGGCTCACGTGGTCTAGTAACTTGCCCAAGGCCACACAGCAGACACAGAGCTGGGATTCAGGCCTGTGATGCTCTCCAGGTTTACCCACCTCCTTGCCAGACAGAGGCACCCGGTCCTCCAGACACGCCCAGGCTGGGGGGAGGCAGGAGGCTCGCAGCCCAGCAAGTGCACCATGGCACGAAGAGAGCTGGGAAGTGGCCCAGAAGGACAGATTGACTCAGCCAGGGCATCAGGACAGACTTCCTAGAGCAGGAACACGGGGACCTGAAACATGAGAAGGTAGCCTTGCAAGGGGGATTGTGGAAGCCCCAGAGAATTCCAGGTGGAGGAAACACAGTGACCTGCCCTGCCTCTCCAGAACGGGAGGGAGAATGGAAGCTGATCCTAAGGCACAACTCTGTCCCTGAGCAGGATGGGTGATGGGTCACAGCATCCCTGCAATTCCAGTGCTCCGTCCTGCCTGCCTGGGGTGCTGGCGAAGGTAGGGGAATGGATGGGGGGACTCGAGAGAGGAACGCCTGGTGTGCGTGCACACGTGTGTGTGCGTGCACATGCGTGTGTGACTGCACTTGCACGTGTGTATATACGTTTTTCTGTATTTAGGAGTAAGGGCTGTGAGGGTGTGTCTAGAGAATCTAATGTGTGACTGTGTGTGTGTGTGTGTGTCTGAGTGTACACGTGAGCAGAGGACAGGTTCCGGGTCAATGGCTGAGGGTCACCCTGAGTGGGCTGTGTCTGTATGGGGCTTACTCTGTGTGTATTGGTGTTTGTGTACGTGGCGAGTGTGTGTGTGTGTGTGTGTGTGTGTGTGTGTGTGTGTGTGTGTAGGGGTGTCTGTCTCTCTGTGTGTCTGAATGTGCGGTTTGGGCTTTGACTAGTGTCGGCTCCTCTGGCGTGTACCCCTGTGAGCGTGGAAATGTGAGTGTGGGCACGCCTTTGCATCGCCGGCTCTGCAACTGTGCGTATGTGGGACTGGGTATGTCTGCCCCCACAGTGATGACTCATCTAATCTTCCACACTCGCCCCCCCCCAGCTAGAGCTGTGACTGTCTGCCATGTCAGGGCTGGGGAGGGGGCTGCAGCACAGGGTGGGATGGCGGGCAGACCGTGGGGGACATTCAAGTGACAGCGGTGTGAATGAGGTGCGGCTGCTAAAGCGACAGGTTACAGCCCCATGTGTGTCTGCGTGGACAGTGGGCGTCAGCGGAGCCCAGCCCAGAGTTTGGGGTGCCATAAGCCAGGGCCTCCCAGACATCCTGGGTTGCAGGGAGCAAGGGGCTCCCCAGGCCCCCAAACCATTATACGTGGGGTGCACGAGTCATGGCTGAGAATGCAGTTTCACGGAGCCAGTCCCATCTCCCCTTAAGAGGGATCCCAGTGACCAACTCCCCCTTTGTCCTTAGGTGCCCCAGAGATGGCTGCTCTCCAGGATGAAGGTTCCTTCAGAGTGGTTCCTTCTACCCTGAGGCAACAGATACTTCTTCCTATCAGACCCTCACCAGGGAGGAGGCTCTGGGTCCTCAGGTCCCTCTGGTCCTAAGTCTGGCTCCCTCATTCATGGCCTAAGGGTAAGAGAGGCCAGTTGTTTGGTCTGGGTAGATGCTCAGAGAAAACTCCGGGATCTCAAGAGGGGCCGGTGATGCTCTGGAAGACCCACAGGGGCTGCGGTGGTTGGGTCCCTGAGCCCAACAGCACCGGTCTCTGAGAGCTCCTGGCAAAGCACCAGGGCCCAGGAGAGGAGTCCAGGCACCTCCTGTCATCCATCTCCAGACTGGGCACTCAGCCCTGGCACCTCCTCGGCCCAGGGAGACCTGGCCTGAAGCCTTTGCTTTGCCTGAGCTGTCCGTCAACTGGTGACACATGACCTCTTTCCTGGAACCAGCCCGCCCCGGCCTTGTTGATCTAATCCTGAACCTCTGAGCCCCAGGTCCCTGTCACATCCATCTTTAAGTGCGATCCCCTGGCACTGGCCCCAGGTGCTGCCCCCCCCCGTCCCTCCCAATTCCAGTGGGACTTACAGTAAACTCTGTCAGGCTAGGACTAGAATAATCAAAATATAATTGGGTTTTCAACTAGCTAATGCTGCCACAGGCCTGGGTTGTGCATGGGAACACTCTGAGCCGGGCAGAGGTGCCTTTTAGAAGAACAGAAATCAGAAAACAAGCAGAGGTGTGCAGAGGGGTGCGGGGCAGGCCAGCAGGGGCTGCGTTGTGGGCCCGGAATGGGGGACTCTGAGGGCCTAGTCTGGCAGGCCACTGAGGAGGCTATGGTGTTTGGTCCCGGGGCCTAACAACACTGGCCTCTGGGAGCTCCTAGCAAAGTGTCACACCCACGGGAGAGCCCCGGGGACCACATATCCTCTGTTTCCAGGCCAGGTGCTCAGTCTTTGTCCCTCTCCTCAGGAACGGCTGGTCTTCCTTCAGGGTATGGGTGGCTTGAAAATGATGGATGTCCACTGAGAGAGCGGGGGGGGGGGGGGGGTGGGGGGTGGGGGGCAGGGCCCAGAGCCAGGCATCCTTGGTGGCTTCACAAGCTACTGAGCATCTTCAAGCTGGGGCAGAGGACAGAGGGCAGGGGCTGGAGACAGCAGTCTCTGCTCACTCACTTATATATTCACTCAACAAACACTGACGCGAGTAAGCTGTCAAGAGGGGGGCCCTGCTCCTTAGTCTGGGGAGACCCCCCAGGTGAACAGATGGGCGGGGTTGGGTATCATATGCATTAGAGTGGGAGCTCATGGCGTTGGGGGTGGGGGACGGGATAGGACCGGGGTCAACAGTGATAATGCATGTGAGCCCAGAGATAACTGCCCCCCTCCCAGTCTGTTGAGCCTTGTGTTGAAATGTGGTTAGAAGCACAGGCTTTGGGGCCAGAAAGACCTGGGTCAGACTCCCAGCCCTGCTGCATGCTGCTGTGTGATCTGGGACTAGGCACTTCACTTCTGTGATAGGCTGGGTAGCGGCCCCCCAAGGAGGTCCGCATTCTAACCCCGGGAACCGGTGACATGCTTCCTGGTGAAAGGGACTTTGCAGATGGGGCTAAATTCAGGCTCTTGAGATGGGGAAATTACCCTGCGTTATCCAGGTGGGCCCGACAGAATCACAAGGGGCCTTGTAATAAGGAGACAGGAGGGGCAGAAAGAGCAGGTGTGGTGGTAGAGCAGAGGTGGGAGTGATGCCAGGAAGGTGGGCAGGCTCTGGAAGCCAGCAAAGAACAGACTCTCCCCTGGAGCCTCCAGGAGGAATTCACCCCACTGATTCCTTGATGTTAGTCCACTGAACTCATGTTGGACTTCTAACCTCCAAAAACGTGGCAAGAAAAAAACTTGTGTAGTTTTCAGGCCCTAAGTTCGCAGTAATCTGTACAGCATCCACAAGAAACTAACACAACCTCTCTGAGCCTCATTTCACTGGTTATAAGACGCGACCAACAGGATCCTTTGGCCTGCAGAGTTGTGTCAGGATCACCACGGGCGGGTGCAGCAGGCGCCAGCAAGACAGAGACTCACATTCATACACACCCGTACTTAAAACTGTTGTAATATTTCAAAAAATCAGAGTGGCCATCACGGGAAAAATCGGAGCTTTGTCAGTCAGACGTCCTTATGCTTGTCTTGTCGTTTGGGATTGTTTCTATTTTGAGTCACATATTGGTGCAGGAGGCTGTTAATGAACTTAAATCCTAAAACTATAAATAATATTAGTTATAAACAATGATCATGGTAAATGTGTGCTGGTGTGATTATTTTGATAGAGGAACACACACAGGGGAAGGAAAAGAAGGAGAAACCTGATCTTTCTAGGAGGGGTGTGTGTGTGTGTGTAGACTGGGTAGTTTTGTTTTGTTTAACTACGATCTGAGGCACCAGACATTTGAGGAAAGTCTTTAACGGGACAGAGAAAGACCAAGATAAACAGAAAAACGTTCCAGAGACAACTTGGGCTGGGCCTATGAGGGATGAATAGGAGTTCACAGATGGGCTTTGAGTGGGACATGTTGGGCAGGAGTGGGAGAGAAAGAAGGGTTCGGATTCCAGGGAGAGGGGATAACATGAGTAAAAGTGAGGGGTAGACATGGCCGAAGGTCTGTTCAGAAATAGAAAAGTGGGTGACAGGCTGGCCTGAATCTAGCCTGAGGAGCTTGGACTCCATCCCAAAGGCAGTGGGGTCCCTGAAGGGTTTAAGCAAGGTTGTGATATGGACTGATTGGCACCCCCGCCCTCCAAATTAAACACACTGTAAATGAATAAAAAGTATATTTTTCTTGTAATAGATTCAAACCACTCAGAATAAAATAGAGTAAAATCATTATTTTAAATTATGTAGAGTAGCTATTGACTTCGGTATTCGAATACAGCCACTGTGACAAAGACTCCCAAATGACAATGCCTTGGAAAGATGCAAGTTTTGTTTTCTTTGCAGGCCGTCCAGGCCTGGCCAGGTGGCTCTGTAATCATCAGGAAGCCAGAATTCTGCCCCGGTAGGAGAGTATCACAGTCAGGAGCACAGGTCCTAGTGCCAGACCGCCCAGGTTTAAATTATGGGTCTGCCACTTATGAGCAGCTGTGTGACCCTGAGTACGCTACTTAATTTCTTCGTGCTTGAGTTTCACCATCTGTAAAATGGGGGATAATACAGCACCCGAGGGAAGGAGCATAATGTTCCCCCAAAGATGTGCGTGCCCTAATCCCTAGAAATTGTGACTGTTACCTCATATGGCAAAGAAGACTTTGCAGAAGTGATTCAGTGAAGATTCTTGAGAGGGGGATATTATCCTGGACTGCTCCAGTAGGCCCGATGTAATCACAAAGGTCCTTAGAAGGAAGCAGGAGGGGCGCCCTGGGGCTCAGTCGATTAAGCGATTAAGCGTCTGATTCTTGGTTTCGGCTCAGGTCCTGAACTCAGGGTCCTGAGGCTGAGCCTGGCATTGGGCTCCTTGCTCAGTGCAGAGCCTGCTTGAGATTTTCTGTCTCTCCCTCTCCATCTGCCCCTCCCCCTGCTCACATGTTCTGTAAATAAATTAAATAAATAAATAAATAAATAAATAAATAAAATCTCTAAAAAAAAAGGAGACAGGAACTCAAAATAGTAATCAGAGATGTGATGATGGAAGTGAGAGACTGTAGTGACATGAGAAAGGGACCATGAGCCCAAGAATGCAAGTGCTACTGGAAGCCGAAAAGACAAGGAAATAAATTCTCCCGAGTCTCCAGAAAGAAACAGTCTAGCCGACACATTGATTTTAAACTTCTGAGCTCCAGAACTGTAAGAGAATACATTTGTGTCCTTCCGAGACACCGAGTTTCTGGTGTTTTGTCATAGCTGCCATAGGAAACGAATACACATCCTTGTTAGGTTAAAGGAGCTCATATATGCACAGCACTTAGAGAACTGCCCGACACAGAGTTAACATATATATGTAAGTGTTAGCTATTATTGTTTATGGTAGAACTCTTGGCCTGGGTCAGAGATGGCCAAGCATGCCCATATTCCAGCTCGTGGAGAGGCACACCCGTTCTGTTTGCATCCAGTTGGCCTGAATGGGGTCACCTGATCCCATGTGGCTGCCGAGGTAGCCTGGGGAATAGACTGTTTCTCCGGGTAGCCACGTGCCCAGTGAAATGCAAGGGTTCTAGGAATAAGGGAAGGAGGGCGGGTGCGTACTGAGCTAACAATGTCTGGTACCATGCCCAACTATGAAAGATGAGAAGTTTGGCAAAGGTACCTTGCCTCCAGAGTTTGGTTAGATACCCATTTTCAGCTCTTCCTTCTTGTGCTATTTAATTTTGACTCCTGCTGTGCAAGATGAGACATCCTTTATCACACTGCCCTCCCTCCTCCTAAATCTTCTTGCTAAACCACTACATTTGAATCTAGTTCTGTATCCAGAGTGAAAGTGTTCTGGTTTTGTGTGTTGTCCACCTCTGAATTTCAAAAAAATTGAAAATCAATAAAGTGTTTTTTAAAAATATTATGATTATGTAAACATTAGTCTCTGAAGAGCTAACTAGCATCCAGGGACCCGTAGAGAAGGAACTATAGTCTTATGCTTTAAATGCTGCCTGAAGGGAAATGCTCCAGGCTTCAAGTTCAAATGTATTTTCCCACGCTCCCTCAATATTCAAAGTCATGTTATATCTTAATTCCCTTCATATTTGGACCATGACTTTCTTATGAGTTTTTGTTCTCCTGGAGTTTCTGATTGCTTTTCTCTTTTCTTCTTGAGAAAAGAAACATATGCCCTTTTAATCAGGTCATTAAAGTCTCCCAGCTTCTTAATTACATTATTTGTTGAATGAAGCCCATTTTCTTCTTGAAGACACTTTTCTCCAAACCCTCTGACTTCCTGTTCTAATTTTGACTGATGGCTTTATGAACCTCTGGTATTTCTATTCATTACACTTGTGGGTCAGTTCTGCTGGGTGAATCTGGTCTCTCTTTCTTGGGTTTTGTCTCTGTTTTCCTGGAGTATATCTTCAAATAACATTTTTAAAGGGGGTGGGTGCATGGAAGGAAAGCCTTCCAAATCTATGCATGTCTGAAAATGTTTTTAATTTGTCCTTACTCTTCCTGAGTGGGAAGATCAATCCGCAGGCTTCATTTTAGGGCATGCAGAAAGGGGGCCAATAGGCAGAGGGAACCCAGGTTCCCATCCTGGGCCAACACAAGGAGAGATTTACTCTAGACACCAACGCTCTGAGTAGGAATTCTGGTCCTTTTGAAAAAGATCACTCAATTTCTTTAGAAAGTGGTCTCTCTTACTTTTTTTTTTTAATTAGAGAAGGGGAGGGGCAGAGGGAAAGGGAGAGAGAGAATCCCAAGCAGGCTCCATGCCCAGCACAGAGCACGACGTCGGCCTCAATCTCACAACCTTGAGATCATGACTTTGAGATCGTGACCTGAGCCAAAATCATGAGTCAGATGTTTAACCTACTGAGCCACCCAGGTGCCCCCTCTCACTTTTTACTCTCTTCCTTCTCTGTATGTTCCTAATGTGTAGTGGATTTTTTTTTGCAGGGGATTGTTAGTGGCCAATGCTGGCTTGTTATTCATTAAACAGGCCTTTCCTTGAATTATTTCCTAACTTCGGTTAGTCTCATACCACCATCTCAATTTTTGCCGTATCTTCTTACTATCTGTGTTAATATTTACTTTTTTTTTGTATTTTTAATGACTGAAACAAAATAGATCTAAAACCACAGCTTCTGGAAGAATCATTTGTTCTCACCAGTTGGTACCTCTCCTTGAACTTAACCTTGGCCTCTTGTCAGGCCTTGCCTTTAAGAACAGGGTCTCTGAAGACATCTTTATTGATGACAGTTTTGTCCGAGGGGATGTCCACAGAGTACCTTGTGGGCATGAAGTGACTATGGTTATAAACTTTCACAAAAGACTTGATCTTTGACCTCCTGATGGTTTTCTTCTTGCCCATGGCAGCTGTCCCTTTGTGGGGACAGCGGTCAA